GTCCTATGGCAATGGGAACTGGCAGAGATGACTGCTGGGAGTCTCTAGTCACAACTCGGCACATGGGCGGCACAGATAAGATGGTATTTTATGCACTGGGATCTAGTCTGGCTACACCTTCTTCTGGAAGGGTAAGCCTGATGCGAAGGGAAACCGCATTTATGGAGTTGGCTTTGCTATCCGCCAACTTATCCTACACAGGCTAACTGAAATACCTGTTGGGGTCAAAGCGTCTCATAATGCTGAGAGTCCCACTGAATCACTCACGCCATGCCTTTTTCATCAGTGTATACGCCCCAACACTGGATGCAGAGGATGACATCAAGTAGCCCTTTTAAGCCGACCTTAACAGAGTGCTAACCTCTATCCCCAGAGAAGAGTAGGTTTTGCTCCTTGGTGACTTCAATGCCAGAGTTGGCAGAGAATGCTGACACTTGGAAGGGAACCATTGGGAGGAATGGATGAGGCCTACTCCTCCTCAGCAAGTGTGCTGCACACAACCTCACTATCACCAATACCTTGTTTAGGCAGGCCGACAAGTTCAAGGGTTCGTGGCAAAACCCACGATCCAAACACTGGCATCTCACTGACTACATCATTGTCAGAGAAAGAAATAGCCGAGATGTCCTCATCACCCGAGCCATGAGTGGGTCAGACCACTGTGACTCTGATCAGTGACTTGTCAGAGCCAAGCTCTCACTTCACGTCGCCCCAAAACAGCGAAGGCATCAAGCATCCAGAAGAGGTTTTAATACTAGGCGTCTGGAGGATCCAGTGGTAGCACATGCTTTCAGAGTGCAGCATGAACACGGGCTTATAAACAACCCAACAGCAAACAACATGAATCCCAGTGCCGAATGGGACACTCTTAATACCGTTATGACAAAAACCTGCAGAGAAACACTCCGCCAGATCAAAAGAATACACCAGGACTGGTTTGATGAAAATGACCCGGCAATCAAAGTACTCATCTATGATAAACGTGCTGCTTTTACTGACTGGCAGAACAACTCTTAGTCTCGGACCAAAGCTGATATGTTCCGCAAGAAGAAAGCGGCAGCCCAGCGGGAACTTTGCAATCTAAAGAACGACTGGCTTAAAAATAAAGTATGTGGAGCACAAGAAATTGCAGATCAGCACAAGATGTGCGAATTTTTCATTTCCACTAAAATAGTTTATGGGCCAATCACTCATGGTACAGTCCCCCCTCCGCTCATCTGACGGTAACCTCATAATTAATGACGATGAAGGCCTCCTTCCGCACTGGAAAGAGCACTACCACTCATCGCTCAACCGAAACATCGATGTGGATGTCCTGACTACCCAGCAGGTCCTTCAGCATCCAGAGCTGACCCACTTCAGTTACCCTCCATCCCTGGATGAGGTAGCTACTGCCATCAAACAGTTGAAAAATAACAAAGCCTCAGGGCCTGATGGAATCCCAGCCGAGGTGTATAAAGCAGGAGGACCTCTGCTTACTAGCCGTCTGACTCTCTCCTGGAAAATACATGGGAAAAGGAGGAAATACCCCAAGCTCTTAAAGACACCTCCATTGTCAACATTTATAAGAACAAGGGAGACCAGTCAGACTGAGGCAACTACCGTGGGATCTCGCTGCTGTCCGTAGCTGGCAGGATTATCACCCGAGTCCTCCTAAACAGACTTCTTAATGAGGCAGACAACTTTCTCCCAGAATCTCAATGTGGTTTTAGACCATCACGTGGCACCACTGACATGATCTTTGCTGCCCGCCAGATACAGGAAAAGAGCAGAGAACAGCGTCATGACCTGTACATGGCTTTCATCGACCTAACCAAGGCCTTCGACTCAGTCAACAGGGAAGTCCTCTGGTGGACCGTCAGCCATTTTGGCTGCCCACCAAAATTCATCGCCATTGTGAGGCAACTCCACGATGGCATGAACAGCAGTGTCCTGCACAACGGCACCCAGTCAGAGTTCTTCCCTATCCAAACAGGGGTTAAACAAGGGTGTGTACTGGCACCAACTCTCTTTTCCATCTTCTTGGCTGTCTTCCTTACTCGTGCCAGTGTCAATTTAACCGGCGGTGTGAACATCGAGTACCGGGTGAAGAGGGGGGGGTCTTTTCAACATAAGACGACTCCAGGCAAGAACAAAGGTGTTGGCAGCCTCCATTATTGAACTCCAGTATGCAGACGACCTCACCCTTGTTGTTCACACTGAACATGACCTACAGGAGAACCTGAACACCTACACAGACGCGTAAACACACTTCGGCCTTGAGGTGAATCTATGTAAGACTCGGATTCTCTTTCAACGTGCCCCCTGGTTCAGACACACCTCCACCATCCATCCAGCTTAGCAGTACACTACCCTCTCTAATGTTGCCCACTTTCAGTATCTCGGCTCCCACCTGTCCACCACCGCAGACATCGATGAAGAGATTCAGCAACGGATCAGATGTACATCTCAAGCCTTTGGCAAACTCCGAAATCGTGTCTCCAGCTGTAGGTAGCTGAAATTATCTACAAAGCTGCACACATATATCGAGCAGTGGTCCTCCCCACCCTGCTATATGGCAGTGAGAAATGGGTCACATACAGGAGGCACCTCTAGGCACTTGAAAACTATCACCGTCGTAGTCTACATTCCATCCTCCAAGTTCGCTGGGATGACAAGAGAAAAAATGCCAGTATTCTTGCTGACACCAACTGTAGAAGCGTCGAGGCTACCATTATCCATGAACAACTACGTTGGACTGGCTATGTTACCCGCATGGAAGACAGTAGACTGCCAAAGCAGCTCCTTTACTGTCATCTTACGAATAGTAAACGTAACGCCGGCGGGCAATTGAAAAGGTATAAGGATAGTCTTAAGACAAACCTGAAAAAGTACCAAATCGACCCCCTCCCCTGGGAGTCAATTCTCCACATTGTAATGCTTGGAGGAGCACCACACGAGAAGATGTCAATAATTTCAAGTTAGCCCAACTGTGAACCGAGGCAGACAAGCGCCACTGCCAGAAAGACGCTGCCACTGCCCCTCCCGCAGTAGATGGAGCCCTCCACACGTGCAATGAATGTGAACAATGCTGCAGGTCCAGTACCTGTCTATGTAGTCACCTCAAAGCTCACTAATGTAGGTAACATCCCTAATACCTCATATCATTGTATCATAGCTGGATGATCATCCTCAATTCCGAGTGACAGCAAAGTAGTACTGTACTCACCAATAGATCCTGTTCACTCAGCTGATTGTAATACTTAATTGTAATCGTCTTAACAATTGTGATGGAGGTTGGGTGGGAGATTAGTGGGTCATGTTACTGACCTGACTTGATTCAATATCAGGTCACCCATTGTCAGAGTGGGGGATTAGTGTGTCTTGTGACCTGAAGATGTCTTGAATAAAAGACGAATGGTAAGATGCACCAGTGTTTCCCACTTACTGACTGTGCAGTATCGTATATGTAACTGTATTTACTTTTTACGTTCTTAACACTGTATTCTTTGCTGATTTTGTTCTGGTACAATAATGTACAGCACTGCACAACACAAAATGTACACAAAAACAGCAACTAGCGAGGTAACAACCTTCTACAATAGCAGCTGAATATCAACTAAGCGATCCAAACAGCAGGGCCACCCACGCCCTAAAAATTTATTCCCAGACTCATAAATCAAAAAAATTTTTTTTAGATTTTTCATTTTTTCCTGAAATTTTCAGAAAATGCACCTGATTTTCAACCTCGGAATTTGTTCCCAAACCCGGAATTGAGAATTTTGCCGGAAAAATTCTGAGCAAATTTCAATTCCGGCTATTGGAAAGTTCCGGTTAAGAGGGATTCCGGCAAGTGGAGATATTACTTATTCAGCAACTGCTGTTCCCACAGCTACCATGTCAGACTAACATAATACCATGGTAACTTCTGAGTGGACAAATAATGATCATACCAATATGCCTCTTGATAATGTGCTTCAGCTGTTTGAGTACTTGCATTTTGTTCATTGCCTAGTTCCTAAACAGCTGGCAGTACATAAGACTTGATCTGTTAAGCCAGGGGATTCATTAATGACCCTACCCCTGACCTTTACCAGGTACAGTACAAGCAAAATTGATGCAGCTGAACCAATTAAGGCTATTTATCAGCCAGGTCCCCTGGGACAACAAAAGAAATCTCAGTAGTGAACATCAGTTCCAAGGTCAGGTCACTACTCCTTGCCAACGTGCACAGTTATATTGCAAGTATCATAAACGATCAGAGCATCACACAGATGATTGTCACAGGAGGAATACTACTGTCCCCCCTCCTCCCACTCACACACTACTCACCACTCCCACCCACATGATTCCAGGTCCTCCCCCACCCCACCACATGCAAGGCCCTACTACATCTCCCACCCCACCACATCCCAGACCCCACCAGGTCTCTCCTCATTCTCACTCTACTGTACTTACCTTCCTTTGTGTGAAATGAATAATGTGGGATGGGTTCATGGTATAGTTGTCATTGCTAAATGTGGTAAAGAAGAGGTTTCATTAGTCATAGATTCAGATTGGACCGTTAATATTATTTCAGAAGTGTGGCTGCGTGAAACTCTGCTGAAGATTGAGGAAGGTAATTTTTTTAGATCTTGAAACTGGCCTACATCTACCAACAGTTTAGAAATGAATTAAACAGCGGCAAGAGGAAGTGTCACTCAAACTAAACACCGACGTGGATAGCCAAAGGTTATAACCCGAGAGCAGGATAACGCCACCATGGAGACTGCATGTATCCTTAACACCAACAGTGAAGCTCAAGCAGAAACTACAGTTGACCTGTAGTTCAGTCACAAGATGGCGCCTCCACACGTTGGTGGAAAAAGCACCATCTATGTGTTATGAACAGAAATATAAAGCTGGCAGGGGATTTTCAGCAAACTTTAGATTTTGACTACATTATTATGAGTGTTGAGCAAAATTTTAATATACAGAAAATCTGGATAATTTCTTATACACTGTATTCCTATTCTACCCACCATGAATAGCACCATCTCCCAGGGGTTCTGTGGAGGTGGTCATAAACTGCTCCTTCGTGGTCTCATCTGCATTCCCAGGTTCACCATCCTAAGACAACCAACATAAAAACTCTAAAAATCATTTAACATTTGTTCTTTCATTATTGTTACAGATCTTAAACTCACTTAATAAAGAACTGGATTCCTTAAGTTTGAAAGAGTAAAATAAATATAAATAAATATCAACAGACCATGTAACCTTGGCGATTAAAGACTTTTCTCTTGTATGTTCCCTTATTACACCAGTAGAACCTTTCTGCTGACATTTCGTTTCAAAGCAAAGAGACTAATTAAAGTTCACTTAGATATTCACATATTCAACACGAAATTATAACCATTATTACCCTTCCTTAATACTGTATATGCTAATCTTTTCTCTTATTATGCTCACTCCTTCCAATATTCTCTCATGATATTGTGTGAAGCTACACTTCCTTACATCTAGCATTTACAGTGTAACTTCATGTATGATAATTGTAAGGGGCAGAAATGTGTCTGAGAATGTTGAAAGCTTCCTTACTGCAAATGCCTCATTTTTCATCTAAAATACACACTACAATATTATTACAGTGGTCATAACATGTTAAGACACAGATTAGACATACATATATACTGTACATACAGTTGTGGTCAAGAGTAGTCATCCACTCCACACCTAACACCTGTGCCTGGCCTGGTCCTTTCTGTACAGTAAGTCACCGAGGGACAGTGAGAAAGAATGGTATACTTGTGGGAGGGTCATTTGTTGGGGAGGTGGGGTATGATGCATATTGCTCATGAGAAAGGGAGGGGATTGAAGAAAACAGGGAAATTTATGAAAGAAGGAAGGGGAGAATGGATGTAAGTTTTTTGGTGCTACTGTAGTGTGCAGTCTACAAGATATTTAGGTTAGGTTAGGATTGGTTAGACTAAAGATATCTCTACAAACCACATGCTAAAATAGCACTGCTTTTTTTTTCTTCACTATATTATCTTTTTTTAGCATGCTTGAAAGAGTAGATGACGACCTTATTTTATGATTATTGTAATGTACCATCCATTTCCTTATTTATAATTTTTTCAGGTTGTGGCTCAGGTTTTAAACAATGGTAAAAAAATATTTATAATAACATTAATAATGTTGATATGAGGAGAAATAATGAATATGAGGGAGAAAATCACATATATTTTTAATATTTACCAACACAGGTCCTACAGAATCTCAATGGCCCATCCAATATTCTCCTCGCCTATCAAATGTGGTCTCCCTGGCCTAAAATGATATCATTCATATGAACTAAGAGTTCCAATATGTTTTGTCCACATTACACACCTGAAATTAGCCATTTTAATATACAGTATATAAAAATGTCAGCAACCCATAAAAAATACTCACAGCGGCCAATTTCCCAAGTTCCCAGACTCCTCCCAGTGGGTTAATCAGCATCTCACAGTGACCCCAACCTCCCTTGAAATTTCTGACCCGTTGTAGCCAGCCACGCACCTGCGACTCGGCAATCGACTTTCTTTAGCATCCATCTGGGGCTGGGTGTGGAACAGTGGCCAAACACTATTGCTAACACCACCTCACATAGATTTTCACAACTCTAATAAACATATTACAGGGTGAAAAAGTCACAATCTATCCAAGAATTAATTTATATATATTTTTTTCAATTAATTCAGTGTTGATTTTTTGTCTTCAAAAACGGTAGTGGCGAGTGGTGAAAGTGATCAAGTAACAGCCTAGTTTAGTGTTACTAGTGGTGAGCTGGCCACTCCAACTGTTCTATTATGTTGTTATATCATGGGCTTTCCCTCATGGAAGCCAGATGCCTTAACAGCTCTAATGACACATTACCTTGCACACCTCCCCAGAATCTAAAGTAAAGGCATAGATAACCAAGGGAAAGCTAAGTCCATATGACACCTCCCTGGACACCAGCCCTCCTGGATGGTTGGTTGGTTTTTGGGGCTTTAGGCCATTCAACTGCCAGAGTCATTAAGGCCATCAACATCAAGCTACATCCACCAACCTTAAAACAAAATTTTGTTTGTTTCATTTGATTTGCCTGTTTTTTTATATGGTGTATGGGGTTACTTAAACATTAAGACCTGTAAGTTTCATTGAAATCTAACATAGAGTTTTGTTTTTCAGAAAAATAATATATGAAAATATAATGTAAAAAATAATGACCAAATGAAATAACACAACCCATTCATTTTTCACGAGATATGTTTGAAAATTTGCCCCTCTAGTTACCAAACCCATAGCTATAAAACCTCCTGATTAGATTTATATAAACTATTTATTTGTTGAAAAAAAGTTTACAAAAATGGAAAAAAAAAGATTCTATCAGAAAACAAAATACTGTACAGGTAATTACCGTATATGGCAGCATATAAGTCGACCTTTGAAGCCAAATTTTTAGTGTTCAAAGTTAGGGGGTCGACTTATACGATGGGTATAAAATGATGACCGTAAGTGAGAGTATTTCGTATTACAACCTTCATATTTACCTTTAATATAATTGCTCTATTTCTATTATGGACGAAATAAAGTTTTTCTCAGTAGTTTTATTTAAACACCTTTTGTTATTGATGGCTGTGTGTGGACTGTGGTGGAATGAGCAGGAAGTCAAGTGAGTTCAGTGTTGTTGTGATTGTTGGGTCAGTCACTAATGACGTTGTGTGTGACATCATGTATAGAGTGGCTTGTTTACCTGTTTATGTATGTGTGCTGATGGTTGACTTGGTCCTTCACAACACTTGACAGCTGCTGAAGTTGGGGAGTCAACTTATATGGTAGGTATACCTCTATGACCAAATTTTTGTGCTTGAAAAGGGGGGTCAACTTACTGTATACACCGCCATATACGGTAACTGTACAGTATATTCTTAACCCTTACGCCCCGGGTGATGTTCCAGAATGCCTAACCAGCGCGCCCCGGGTAACGTTCCAGAATACGCGCCTTTTCCTGCTACTGTTTAAATACCCAGCGCGGGTTATCAGGTTCCAGTGTGACTATTTGCCTGTCACCCCACACGCTCGGCCACAGGGAAACTTCCTGAATGTAATTACCTACTTTTGTTTGTTTCATTTTCAATGTTTGTCCATTTATCATGTTGTATCAAAGTAATATTGCTAAAAGTAGTGTAGTTGTATTGTAGCGTAGTATTACTGGAAAATAATGCTATGATTATGTTATAAATGTATTTATTTGTGAAATTATTATTATTTTATGCATTATTTGCTCTACCAAACACAAGGACAGCCAGACAGCCTGGTTACCAACTGCGTGTGTGTTGCCGAGCACTTTATATGAAAAATAATGCAAACAAAATATTCTAAATTAATTATTTATTGGCAATGAAGTATTATGATCAGTAAATATATGCATTACTGACCACCCCAGACTCAAAGGCAAGCAGAAAATGGCCGCAAAGTGCGTAGTGACCTCGAGTGCTAGCAGTCAAAACAACATTGTCCATTTACCTCCCTCGCCACTGCAGCCACAGGGAAGTTTCTAGAGGGTAAAAATATAATTTTCTTACTTCATTTTTATTGTTTTATTATTTAAAAAGGTTAAAAAAAAATGTTGGGAAAAGTTGATTTTTCTCGATTTACCCTGAGTGGGGGATACAGCCACTGGTACCCTAGCCCGGGGCAAAAGGGTTAACTAGTCAAATAAAGAAATTGTAAATGGATAATAAATGCCTGCTCCTATTTACCTTTTTTATGTCTTTGTTTTTACAATATGATGAAAAATAACAGAGTAGAGATGTCTCATACAACGATAACTTTAGTTTTGAGATATGGCCCGTTTTCTGTGGAAGTACAAGTATGGGTATAAAAACCAAGTTTGGATGGTAATGATATTTATGATATTTATTAGGATTAGTGTTGGTTAGGATTTTCTAACCAAACCTAATCCTAATTGGCACTTGGTCCCTTCCTGTACAGGATACTATTCACTCACAGTGAGGGCGTCAGAGGCATGGCGCTACCTTCCTCTTTGTCGCCAGGTTGACTTTTTTTTCTCTCAGAAACTATCAGGGCTGTAATCTTTGCTGGATATTTTAGTCAGCAATTTTCGTAGTCTTTTCTGCTTTGGGAGTTGTTCTCATTGCTTCCTGAATGCCCAGACCAGCAAGAGTATTGTGAGCAGCACCAAAGCCAAGATGGGTAAGCAGTGATGCATCCAGTAGTATATATTTGCTCCCCAAAGCAAACTGATGGCCACTAATCCTGACTCTCTTACATACCTCCCAGACAGCCGCCACAGACTCATGGTGCCTGATGCTCGATGATACAGTTTTTACGTAAACTCACGCATATATAAATCAGATAAATAGTATTATTTCATTGTACATAATTACAGTAGAACCTCGATAAATCAGACTAATAGGAGCTTATCTGAACTGATAAGAAAATCAGTTGTCGTTATGTTATTACTGCACTTCAACAACTAAGGTTTTTAAGTGTATAACAAGGTTATTAATGCACTATTAGATCAACAAAAAAAAATATGAAACAGAACTCTCTGGGGTTGAAAATCAGACATAAATCTAGTTGTCATCAACTGTTTTCACCGAGGTGATTGTTGTTTACTGTAAAGTGTTTTATGTAAGTAACTACAAAATTTGTCTTATGAATAAAGAGAAAACTGTATACAGGGGATCCCCGAGTTACGAATGGGTTCCATTCCTGAGGATGTTCTTAAGTTGGATCTGTACGCAAGTTGGAACACATGCTATGTGCAAACTGTACTTACAGAACAATGTTTAAAATCCCACTATATCATAGCCTAAGTCCTTATATACATCTAAAATCACTTAATTTAGACAAAAGAAGAAATATAATGGCAAAATACAGTACATGAAAGTAAAAAATAAGTCATCACGTAAATAAAACACTGTAAATTTCAAGTTTAACCCCTGTTCATATTGATGGGGGTTCGTAAGTCGGGAACCCCCTGTACTGTACAGTACAGTACAGGTAGTTCTGCTATTGCGATAATTGTGTTCTTGTAAAATATCGTGTTATAGAAAATCATAATAGAAATAACAGGGCTTATGGAGAAAATAGGGTTAGGTGCAGATTACTAAATCGAAAAAATTTAGTAGTTAGCCTAACACAAAGGATAGCACAGTCTAAATAAATGTTACATTCATATCTAATAATGAAATCATACAGTAAATTTAACACTTTACCTTGAAAAAATATGAATGTAACTTGATGGGGGAGAAGGGTGATTTTGAGGTTGATAACATCGAGCTTCTCTTCAAGTGTTATATCCTTTCTTTTACGATAATCACCGGGAATTCTATCATCAGAACGCTTTTTGGAGATATTCTTCTTTACCATATTCACAGTTAATACCACAAAATTGGAGAAATAGTAAGCAAAAATCGCGTTATAGCAAACAAGCGTTCGCGTTATACAAATATTGTTCCGAATTCATAAATCGCGTTAGAGCAAATTCGCGTTATCAAAACACGCGTTATAGCAGAACTCACTGTACTATAAATATAAAAATAAGAACACATAATGTAGGGGTTTATTGTATGTGGAAGGCGAGTGTGTATCTGGGAGCAGCTGGCAGAGGGGAAGGAGGGGGGGGGGGGTTGGCTCCTTCCCCCTCTCTCCCACATGATTCCTTTAACACTTCTTTATGCAATTCCACCACAATTCTCATATAATTTAGGATCATTTGGTGCCAGGTTGATAAAATATTATCCTAAAAGAATCAGCTTTCCTGAAAAAAAATCTCACACTGAGCACCATGAGTCATTTCATACTCATTTGTTTACAAAGATCAAACAGCTGATTAGCTTACCACAATGTCTGTCTTCAACACTTCTTGCCAAATTGAGTCATCATGTATCACTCAAAGGTAGTAAATAAAATTTGTTAGGAAGGTATCTTCATATCAAATAATATACAGTTGTACCCCGCCATAGCGGTCAATTGAACCCAGAGGTCAGCGTTAAGTGAAATCCGATAAGTGAACAACAGAACATATGGGATTAATTCCAATAGAAACCGGCCCGACCCCCAAACTCCACTTTTTGAAGGCACATACCTATGTTGTAGTAAAAATAACATCTTAATTTTATGATGGTACATGCACACAATTAATACTTAAGAGAAATAGAGAAATACAGTCGCCAAGTTAATGTCCATTCAAATAATGGACTCAACTCCCTCCCCCTCTCACACTACACAGCCGGCTAACAGATGGTCGGTCGGTCCCTCCCCCCCCCCCCACCCCCCACCAACCGTCCCAAGGAGATGTGTGGGATAACCTCAAACTAAAGTTAGGAAAATATAATTGACATTGCTGGATTCCTTGTAAGACCAGGAATATTTTGAATATAAATGTCATATATTTTGCACAAAAGATAACATAGTTACCTAGAGAAAAATTTTTATCTAAAAATTGTAAGTTTAAAGCAAAATATATGATGTTTATATTCAAAATGATCACCAAATTATAAGAATTCCAGCAATGTAAATTATATTCTGACCGGGTAATTTGTATGAATTTTATGAGCTAAAACAAATATCTTCAGTTAATAAAAAAAAAATAATCTTCACGACACTATCTGTCAATCAAAGTACCCCACCTTGCCTCCCCCCCTCTTCCAACCGCGCGGTCAGTCCCAACCCTCCCCCCCACCCCCCACCAATCCTCCCTTCCAGAGTTTTTAACATTTAGTATTAAATAATACCTCAGATTAAAGTTAGGATAATATAATTGACATTGCTGGATTCCTTGTAAGACCAGGAATATTTTGAATATAAATGTCATATATTTTGCACAAAAGATACCATAGTTACCTAGAGAAAAATTTTTATCTAAAAATTGTAAGTTTAAAGCAAAATATATGATGTTTATATTCAAAATGATCACCAAATTATAAGAATTCCAGCAATGTAAATTATATTCTGACCGGGTAATTTGTATGAATTTTATGAGCTAAAACAAATATCTTCAGTTAATAAAAAAAAATAATAATTCTTCACAGGGTAACAGATGGTCGGTTGGTCCCTCCCTCCCCCCCACCCCCCACCAACCGTCCCAAGGAGATGTGTGGGATAACCACTAAATTTTAATAAATAATACCTCAAACTAAAGTTAGGATAATATAATTGACATTGCTGGATTCCTTGTAAGACCAGGAATATTTTGAATATAAATGTCATATATTTTGCACAAAAGATACCATAGTTACCTAGAGAAAAATTTTTATCTAAAAATTGTAAGTTTAAAGCAAAATATATGATGTTTATATTCAAAATGATCACCAAATTATAAGAATTCCAGCAATGTAAATTATATTCTGGCCTGGTAATTTGTATGAATTTTATGAGCTAAAACAGGCAGTCAGGCAGGGTGGCGGGTGGGGCAAATCTAAAAATAGCGTCTCGGACACTCACCGCGTATATGTGGAAAAAATCCGCGTTAAGTGAAAGTTCAGCTTTGGCAAGGCACCGCGTATATGCGAAAACGCGTTAAGTGAAACCGCGTTAGGCGGGGTAAAACTATACAGTGTGTTATAGTGACCCTTGTTGTAAGCTGGTCTGCTGAAAGCTCTCACACGTACACATCCTGAGTGAATACCGTCCGATACAGCTTATCCTTTTATTTTCAAGTCATATTACAAATTATTTTTTCTTTATTATTGAAGATGTTATATTAATCATGATGAACCATGAACCATAAGAGGATTATCATATGAGAATATAATATTGTACTAAATCGAAAAATAAATAAACCCGACGAATGAAGCAACACCCGATCAGCCCCAGCCTGCTTACATACTCAGTGTCTTAGTTCTCAGTAAGCCTATAGATAATCTGATTAGACCACTGTATGGTATTCAGTGAGTAAGTGTAATTTCATATTTTTTTTTTTTTTAACCTTCCCCATTTCTTAAAATATGTACAGTAATTTTTTTTTCTGGTGACCAGGGCACCCGAGTACAGTATATATAAAAAAAATATATTGAAGTCCAATTTATTGAGGTTTTACTAATTCTAATAGAAAATGTATTTTTTCTCATTGGGAGGGCACTAAAAATAGATAATACAGCGGTCCCTCGGTTACCGAACGCCTCGGCTAACAAATTACTTTCCATAAGAATATTCAATTCGGTTAACGAAAAAAATTCGGTTAACGAAATTCCTTACGAATTCCTCTCGACATGTTTTCGCTTGCTCACCAGCTGGAATATTAGTCCGCCAATACAGTAATCGGTTCTAGGGCTTAAATTCGTTCCCATTTGAGTATATATCAAGAAGGTTGTACTATTCAATAATTTTCCAAGTTTTATACTAAAATTTTTAGTCATTTTAACAATTATTTAACATACAGTAATTGAAGTACGGGAAACTAGTTTTTAGTGCGCCAAACAGCCAATCAACTCACCAAACAGGCATCAGTTTGTATCTTTGGTCAGTAGAGGTAACATCTTGCTTGAGACTCTCTTGAACATAAACTATTTTTACGTTTTTACATTACAATTATTGGTCATTCTGAAGTTTATTTTACATATTGACAATATATAATGCAGTGCAGTGTTGATTTAAAGAAAATAATCTTGAATTACACCAAGTGAACTAAAATTTTATGGGTGAAATGGCGGCATGGGGTGACTTCTCTTCCACCCCAATGCCTTCTCTTCTCCCTTCTCCTCCACCCCCATTCTAATTCTCATCATCATCATCATCATCAACCAGGAGCCTTGTACATGCACACCTCAAAGTAAGTGTACTTTACTGCATTTATTTTTACTTTGTATGTAATTTTCGGTTAGCTGGAACCAATTACCCAAAATCCCATTGAAACAACGGTTTCGGTTAACGAATTTTTCGGTTAACGAACGACCTTCTGGAACGAATTGTGTTCGTTAACCGAGGGACCACTGTAGTTTTTGAAGGGGAAAGAATTGTCACATGATGGTAACACTTTCATAGAAGACGGGCCACATATTCAGAAGGACTGAGACATTATTATCTCATTTTTGGTGTCAGAGTAAAAAATTTGAATATTTCTGGCATCCAAGTACCTCCCCCACCCTCTTGTGACCCATTGTGTAGAAAGACCTTGAGCTCACGGGTATGGTAGTAGGAGGGGTGAATGATTACTTTTGACCGTGACTGTACATACATACATACATACATACATACATACATACATACATACATACATACATACATACATACATACATACATACATACATACATACACACATACATACATACCCGATTGGGATTTTTCTTGTCATCAGCAAGAGCCACAGACAAAGTGCCATCATCATCTGGGTGTGTGTCTGCCACTGAGCCATCCCCATCCGTGACCACAGGCTCCCCTCCACCAAACAACCTGGAAAACAACACACTGCTTAAGTTAAGTAATTTAAGCCTAATATGGAAATTTCAATTATTTACTATCAATTAATCTATGAACACTCTTATATTTTTTAAGTACATAAGGTGAAACTGAAGGATTAACATAACTTTATACTCCACTACTCATAACACAACCTTATGCCACTGCCCACATCACAATATTATACTTCTACCCCAGCCATCTCCCTCACTGGAACTCACAACACAACTTTTCTTGTGTAGGGCACTGGGCACTAAGGCTCAGTCTCGTCCTCCCGGAAGTAAGTCAGTAGACCACACGATATTTGGACCACCCCTTCCCTCGACATCCATGACAGCACTGACCTTCCAATGATTGTTAAAATGTTTTATCTCCTTCCACCATTATATTTTTTATCACTCCTATTACTTATTAGCTTACTAGCCATTCAGGTGGTCGGTTGGCACAGTACTATGTTATGGCCTTCATTGTCCAGTTGTAATGACCACGGTCGTACACGTCAGTTAACGTAAAATCAGACGAGTCATATTACGCTCAATAGCTATGCTTTCTTTATTTGAGTCCCCCGTCTGAGAAGTCCGTTTTCTCATCGCTTCAGGACCCCTGAGTCCTCCGTTTTCCCTCAATCTTGGAGTGCACCCGAGACTTCGTTATTCCTTAGTATAATGACACAGAAATTGAAATTGCAACTGTGGTTGCATACGTTGAGGCAACTTAGATATGTCTGATCACAGTTGGAACATTCAAGATCCATTGTGAGTGATGTTGAAAGCTTCAACTGTCCTAATTGTTAGTAAAACTTGTCAAGTCTGTCAGTATGAGTGGCATATCCTTATATCGTCCTTGGGGATAGCCATGAGTTTCCAAGTGCTACTGAAGTTAGATTATTTTGATGCCCAAACATCAGAGAATCGGATGTTTGTAGTTTAGTTAGTGTCTGTTGTCTATTTTAGAAAATCATTAATCTACTGAAAAGATTCTGTCAAACTCAAAATCTCCCAAGACCTAACGGCTCTCCTCAGGAAGAATTCCTTGGCTGTGGTTTGTGGTTTCCTGTAAGTAGAGTTGTTAGTGCGTGTTTAATGTCCATTTCACTTTTTCCTGACAAACCCAATCTCTGATTAGATTATAACAATAGACATAAGAAATGAACCTGACCCGTGACACTGACGTTCATAGCCGAGTGTACAGCGACCAAGTTGAATAGAATTTCTGTTGTTGGTGAGATTAGCCTTTCTGGTATGTATGCGTAGGCCGGAACTGCCCCAGGCTCACATATATACGAATGCACGAGGGAGACTCACACACTCGTGACTCATCCTCAACGCATCTCCAGGTATGTGAACGGTTGTTTCCCACCGCCATGTTAAGTCATTTTATTTTAGTCGATTTTGTGAATATCAGAGTTCATGTTTTAACAGAGTAAAATAATCATGTGCCAAGTAATTCGAGTAAAGTAAGTGTCGTCTGTATTGCTGCCAGACGTATAGTTATGAGTATTTGAGTTAGACATTTTCACGCTAGTGACTGTTCCTCAATGCATCTCCAGGCACTGTTTGCGTTGTCACCACTACCGAGGTGCGGTAGCCGCCTATGGGCAAGATGGTCCTGAAAGGATGTATTTAATATGACGAGATAAGAATCCGAGGACAAGACTACCCAGAGAACGCCGTGCGGAGACAATGCACCGAGTCTACCCCCGGGCATTCCTTGCGAGCGAGCTTCAGCTGTCTGTGTCGTAAACAACTCCGGCTAACAGTGGACTCAGCCCTGTCCGGTCCATTGATCTTGGTTATATGTATTGAGCAGTATTGGTATCTATGATTGGGCTAATTAGCAGACATATAGTTATCCCAGGTTGAGTATTGAACCCATGAATGTTGGTGTTACCAGTGGTACTGGTGTTATAGGAGTTGAGTCCACCAACCAGGTGTACTACCACTGAGTCTAGTTAAAGTGCCAGGTTGTTCATTCTGAACTAACAGGAGGTGTTTAATAATATCTTAATTTTGGATCTTGTCGAGTGTAAGGGCGGAAACGATCTTCCTGCTCGTTACCGCTGCTAACTCTCTCGTCTGCTGGCGTGACCCCCACTTATTTGATGTTTGTTGAGTGGTGTCAGAGTTTTTTGTGTTATATTTTTTATAGTAAAGAAATGTCAATCTCAAACGGTTGTTTGCTATTCCTCAGAAAACCAAGGTCCTTGACTTTCCTTTATTAAGAACTTGATTAGTCTGGTAAGGGATTTCTATCCCTAATTCCCAGGCCTTTACAAGTGGCGACCTTGCCAGGATTATCTCTGACCTTTGGTTTCTGAGGTTTAACATTCGTTCCGGTGTTGTTGTAAGTCGCCGTGAGCGCACCACTTACTGTCTGCGGCCCGGAAGTAAGTGTTGTTCAGTGGTTATCCCTTCCTTCTGTTGTGCTAATTTTGTCGCTCTCCCTTGTACTTGGGGAAGTTAATTAGTGTTGGTTGGGGTGCACTGTGGATGCTGTCATAGCATTTATGTTTTTGTTTCACCTGGTGCAGTTTCTTTACCCTGAGAGTGATTCAGCTGGACTGGGTGCGGAACAAGGTTCCTCCAGTCGGATCAAATCATTTATTGATCTGATTGAGCCACTAGGTGAGTTACCTTTGGCTATTTGTGGGGTAAGTTGTGTATTTTTCTTTTTACTCTTGGCCTTTCGGATCATTATGTATAAATTTGAGGAGTTGAAAGGTCAAGCGGTGGCCCTGGGTCTGACAGGTACTGAGGTTGGTCAGTACGTGGTCAACCAACAGAATGCCGAGAGAGAGGAACGTCAGAAAGCGAGAGAGGAACTTCAGAAAAAGAGAGAGTTGGAGGAACATCAGAGAGAAAGAGAGTTGGAGGAACTTCAGAGAGAAAGGGAGTTCGAATTAGCTAAGTTGCAGGCAGAAAAGGACCTAGAACTAGCTAGGATTAATGCTTCAAGTAGACCAGAATCCTCTGGCCATATACAAGACAATGTGGTAAAACCCAGCTTGCCTGTGTACCGTGAAGGAGAAGACATCGCCTCCTACCTTGTTAGGTTTGAACGGGCAGCTGAGCTGCTTGGTGTGGACCCAGATGGCTATGCTGTAAGGTTGGGTAGCCTACTGAGTGGTAAGCCGGTAGAGATTTACACGTCCCTGTCTGCCGAAATCACCAGAGGTTACTTCTTGTTGAAGCAAGCTCTCTTGCGAGGATTTAACAAGACTTCTGACGGTTATCGTTTTGATTTCCGCAGATCGAAGATTAGAGCAGGAGAAACATACCAGCAATTTTCGATTCACCTGGGTGGTTTGTTTCAACAATGGCTGGAGGCATCAGAGGTTGAAGAAACCTTTGAGTCTCTCTCTAACTTCATGATATTAGATCAGTTTTTGTCTTATCTACCTCCAGACTTGAGAATTTTCATCAAAGAACACCAGCCAACGACGCTTGGAGAAACTGTTCGTCTTGCCGACAACTGGGCGTCTGCTCGTAAAGCCTACCCTAAGTCTTCCCCTCCTGCAGTGAAGAACGCGAAGCCTCCGTCCTCCGAGGAACCATCCCCAGGAGTACACAGGAGTAGTCCACCAGCCGTGCGATGTCAAAGCTGCGGAGAAGAAGGGCACATTTGTTCTCGCTGTCCCAGGAATCCCCTCGCCTTCAAAACTGCTGACACTCATCAGCCCAGCAACAAGGTCAGATTCTGTTTGGAAGACAGGAGCTGCCCCCGTTATTGTGTCAGTGGAACAATCAATGGGTCTAGGGCATCTACTTTCAAAAGGGACACTGGTTGCTCGTGCATTATTGTCTCTGAGGAAGCCCTGCCTAACGCTGACATCTCCAGCTGCCCGAAGGTTAGTGTCGCCGATTATTTAGGTCGTGTTGACCAGTTCCTGTTGTTAGGCGCTTCCTGTGTTGCCCCTATTTCACTGGTTGGTCTAATGTGGTAAGAGCTCCCATTAAATTTGCTGGTATCCTCATTGGTAATGTTCCCGGTGTTCGTGACCCTAACGACCCGGAACTGTTAAAATTCTCCTCACCACCAGCAACCACGCCACCTGCTGACGACGACGACTCGCCACCCTCACACGCCGCCACACCTGCAGCCAAGGTCCAAGCTGTAGAGACACGGACGGCGAAGGTGAAACGTCCGCATCCTCTGATTCTGTCGAATTTGTTGCCACTGACTGTGACTCCCAAGGAGTTTGCCAAGCTTCAAGACTCGTGTGCCACTCTGAAGCGGGTAAGGGAGAAGGTGACTTCCCGGGAGGAGGATCAGGTGAGAGATGGGTCGGTTTATAAGTTTGTTTCTATTAATGGGGTGTTACACAGGTCTTGTGTTTCATCCAAGCGACCAGCTAAAGTAGGTCGGTTTTTACTTGTTGTCCCTGCTGTTTGTCGTAGTAACATCCTCTCTGTAGCTCACAAGAGCTCTCTTGTAAGTCACTGTTCTCGTAGGAAAACTTATAGGAAGGTTGCTGATCCGTTTTACTGGCCAGGTATGGGGGCGGATATTAGAGCTTTTTGTAGGAGTTGTGATCAGTGCCCACGTATGTCCGCCAAGGGTAGAGTCCGTCCTGTTCCACTTGAACCCTTACCCGTCATTGCAGAACCATCTTCTCGGGTAGCCATAGATTTTGTTGGTTCGTTCTCACCCCCTTCCTCTAAGACGCCTAAATTATTCCAAGCTAATTTAAGGCAATATAATTACAGGACCCACATTGCTCGTGTCCTTGACGACGTTTCCAAGCTGGAGTTAGTAGAGGCACTACCCAGCAAGAGTTCCTGTGAAGTTCAGGCGCTAGACTCTGATGATCTCGGTTCCCAGTTGCTGCTAACACCTGACGAGACAGAAGAATCCTCTACGACTGGAAATAGGCCCAAACTTAAACCTGGATTGAAGTGGACCCCACGTGCAGTTCCTTGATACGGCCTTACGTTTTGGACATCAAGTTACCGCCTATTCTTTTATGTGACCCTTCTTTATTGTGCAATGTGTAT